GACCCCCACAGGACTGCCCCCACCGTCTTCTACATGACAGAGAACGTCCTGTATATATATCATAGACCGGCATTGGACCTCAGCGCCATCTACTGCTTCTGGTTCGGGTTGAAGCTGGGTCAGGTCAAGCCGCGCAGGATGAAGTGGAACAGGCCGAGGTCAGGGGTAGGAGGAGAGCAGCAGAGTCAGAGTGGCGACTGTTCAGAGAACTTCCTGTATATATATCATAGACCGGCATTGGACCTCAGCGCCATCTACTGCTTCTGGTTCGGGTTGAAGCTGGGTCAGGTCAAGCCGCGCAGGATGAAGTGGAACAGGCCGAGGTCAGGGGTAGGAGGAGAGCAGCAGAGTCAGAGTGGAGACTGTCCACTATCAGAGGCCGTGGTATGGGGGGTCACAGATACGCAGCTCTTATGAGGACTTCATGGACCACCTTTCATGAATCCATCATTCTCCAAGCCATGGCTAGAGGTGGGACATGGAATCCGATTGGCTCATAAATGGTTCCCGTGGGTCGGGATCGGTGACTTTACTGGCAGCATGCTGCTCCTGGAGACGTGTCCCTGTCTCTGGCCATCATGGTGAACATTTCCATATTATGATTTGAGAGGTGAGGAGAGTAATGGGCCCCCATGGAGCTAGAGACCCCGAGTGCCCCGCAGGAGGGGACCACCATCAGTCCCTCCCCTCCCAGGACCACTTACCTGTTCTAGTTGGGAATATATCCTCGTTGTTTATCAGAGTCTCGATCCACTCCATCAGCATGTTCATGTACAGAGGAGCTGACACTTTAGTGGGCTTCTTATACTTCTGCTCATCCTGCCACCTGTATTCATACCTGAGACCCCCAGACATGACGGGGCAGCTCCGCTCCGTGCAGAACTCAGACATGGTCCCATAGATCAGGTTTATCCTATTGAAGAAGTCCACCACGTGCACAGCAATCCAATCATGAATGTTTTCTTCAGGGGGAAGCTGGACCACCGTCTTCAAGTCAAGGCCGGACTTTAGGGAGGCTTCGGCCTTTTTATACAATTCAAAGCGCTGAGTTCCGGGTTCAAACCTCTTCCTGGGGCGAAATGTTCTGTCTTTATTAAATACCTGAGTAAGGCAAAGAGCCATGACCACCAATGGCAGCTACCATAGAGTCTGGGCCCAGAGACGGTGGGGGGTGATGGCTCTGGTGGTCAGAGAGGAGTGATGGCTCTGGTGGTCAGAGAGGAGTGATGTCTCTGGTGGTCAGCGAGGAGTGATGTCTCTGGTGGTCAGCGAGGAGTGATGTCTCTGGTGGTCAGCGAGGAGTGATGTCTCTGGTGGTCAGCGAGGAGTGATGTCTCTGGTGGTCAGCGAGGAGTGATGTCTCTGGTGGTCAGCGAGGAGTGATGTCTCTGGTGGTCAGCGAGGAGTGATGTCTCTGGTGGTCAGCGAGGAGTGATGTCTCTGGTGGTCAGCGAGGAGTGATGTCTCTGGTGGTCAGCGAGGAGTGATGTCTCTGGTGGTCAGCGAGGAGTGATGTCTCTGGTGGTCAGCGAGGAGTGATGTCTCTGGTGGTCAGCGAGGAGTGATGTCTCTGGTGGTCAGCGAGGAGTGATGTCTCTGGTGGTCAGCGAGGAGTGATGTCTCTGGTGGTCAGCGAGGAGTGATGTCTCTGGTGGTCAGCGAGGAGTGATGTCTCTGGTGGTCAGCGAGGAGTGATGTCTCTGGTGGTCAGCGAGGAGTGATGTCTCTGGTGGTCAGCGAGGAGTGATGTCTCTGGTGGTCAGCGAGGAGTGATGTCTCTGGTGGTCAGCGAGGAGTGATGTCTCTGGTGGTCAGCGAGGAGTGATGTCTCTGGTGGTCAGCGAGGAGTGATGTCTCTGGTGGTCAGCGAGGAGTGATGTCTCTGGTGGTCAGCGAGGAGTGATGTCTCTGGTGGTCAGCGAGGAGTGATGTCTCTGGTGGTCAGCGAGGAGTGATGTCTCTGGTGGTCAGCGAGGAGTGATGTCTCTGGTGGTCAGCGAGGAGTGATGTCTCTGGTGGTCAGCGAGGAGTGATGTCTCTGGTGGTCAGCGAGGAGTGATGTCTCTGGTGGTCAGCGAGGAGTGATGTCTCTGGTGGTCAGCGAGGAGTGATGTCTCTGGTGGTCAGCGAGGAGTGATGTCTCTGGTGGTCAGCGAGGAGTGATGTCTCTGGTGGTCAGCGAGGAGTGATGTCTCTGGTGGTCAGCGAGGAGTGATGTCTCTGGTGGTCAGCGAGGAGTGATGTCTCTGGTGGTCAGCGAGGAGTGATGTCTCTGGTGGTCAGCGAGGAGTGATGTCTCTGGTGGTCAGCGAGGAGTGATGTCTCTGGTGGTCAGCGAGGAGTGATGTCTCTGGTGGTCAGCGAGGAGTGATGTCTCTGGTGGTCAGCGAGGAGTGATGTCTCTGGTGGTCAGCGAGGAGTGATGTCTCTGGTGGTCAGCGAGGAGTGATGTCTCTGGTGGTCAGCGAGGAGTGATGTCTCTGGTGGTCAGCGAGGAGTGATGTCTCTGGTGGTCAGCGAGGAGTGATGTCTCTGGTGGTCAGCGAGGAGTGATGTCTCTGGTGGTCAGCGAGGAGTGATGTCTCTGGTGGTCAGCGAGGAGTGATGTCTCTGGTGGTCAGCGAGGAGTGATGTCTCTGGTGGTCAGCGAGGAGTGATGTCTCTGGTGGTCAGCGAGGAGTGATGTCTCTGGTGGTCAGCGAGGAGTGATGTCTCTGGTGGTCAGCGAGGAGTGATGTCTCTGGTGGTCAGCGAGGAGTGATGTCTCTGGTGGTCAGCGAGGAGTGATGTCTCTGGTGGTCAGCGAGGAGTGATGTCTCTGGTGGTCAGCGAGGAGTGATGTCTCTGGTGGTCAGCGAGGAGTGATGTCTCTGGTGGTCAGCGAGGAGTGATGTCTCTGGTGGTCAGCGAGGAGTGATGTCTCTGGTGGTCAGCGAGGAGTGATGTCTCTGGTGGTCAGCGAGGAGTGATGTCTCTGGTGGTCAGCGAGGAGTGATGTCTCTGGTGGTCAGCGAGGAGTGATGTCTCTGGTGGTCAGCGAGGAGTGATGTCTCTGGTGGTCAGCGAGGAGTGATGTCTCTGGTGGTCAGCGAGGAGTGATGTCTCTGGTGGTCAGCGAGGAGTGATGTCTCTGGTGGTCAGCGAGGAGTGATGTCTCTGGTGGTCAGCGAGGAGTGATGTCTCTGGTGGTCAGCGAGGAGTGATGTCTCTGGTGGTCAGCGAGGAGTGATGTCTCTGGTGGTCAGCGAGGAGTGATGTCTCTGGTGGTCAGCGAGGAGTGATGTCTCTGGTGGTCAGCGAGGAGTGATGTCTCTGGTGGTCAGCGAGGAGTGATGTCTCTGGTGGTCAGCGAGGAGTGATGTCTCTGGTGGTCAGCGAGGAGTGATGTCTCTGGTGGTCAGCGAGGAGTGATGTCTCTGGTGGTCAGCGAGGAGTGATGTCTCTGGTGGTCAGCGAGGAGTGATGTCTCTGGTGGTCAGCGAGGAGTGATGTCTCTGGTGGTCAGCGAGGAGTGATGTCTCTGGTGGTCAGCGAGGAGTGATGTCTCTGGTGGTCAGCGAGGAGTGATGTCTCTGGTGGTCAGCGAGGAGTGATGTCTCTGGTGGTCAGCGAGGAGTGATGTCTCTGGTGGTCAGCGAGGAGTGATGTCTCTGGTGGTCAGCGAGGAGTGATGTCTCTGGTGGTCAGCGAGGAGTGATGTCTCTGGTGGTCAGCGAGGAGTGATGTCTCTGGTGGTCAGCGAGGAGTGATGTCTCTGGTGGTCAGCGAGGAGTGATGTCTCTGGTGGTCAGCGAGGAGTGATGTCTCTGGTGGTCAGCGAGGAGTGATGTCTCTGGTGGTCAGCGAGGAGTGATGTCTCTGGTGGTCAGCGAGGAGTGATGTCTCTGGTGGTCAGCGAGGAGTGATGTCTCTGGTGGTCAGCGAGGAGTGATGTCTCTGGTGGTCAGCGAGGAGTGATGTCTCTGGTGGTCAGCGAGGAGTGATGTCTCTGGTGGTCAGCGAGGAGTGATGTCTCTGGTGGTCAGCGAGGAGTGATGTCTCTGGTGGTCAGCGAGGAGTGATGTCTCTGGTGGTCAGCGAGGAGTGATGTCTCTGGTGGTCAGCGAGGAGTGATGGCTCTGAAGAACCAGAAGAAGCCAGTTAGGAAGTTACTTTCTCTCCTCAGACACGGATGGGGGGTCACTGTCCCTCACTTGGTACCATAGGGGGGAGGAGCGGTTTCCTGAAAGAGAAGAAAGGAAGGTTACACGGGGTTTTGGGGGGTTTCAGTCATCAGCTTGTAGGTAGGTGCAGTACGGCCAATGGCCACTAGA